TCTCAAGGGAGATTCAAGCAAAAAGGAGGAAAGATTTTAATCTCTTCGTTGTTCTTTCTCTCCTTTTCCTTGTTTTCCTTTGCCTAGTTAGGGAATAACCTACCTATTCACTTGGGTGTTTGTCACCCTAGCTATAATTATCTGAATGCTTGTATGGATTGAATGATTTGTGTGTGGATGTGTTTAATGAGAATGTAGAGGTATTATTCATGAATGATTGTGTTGTGTGAAAGCCTATCAATCTAATTGCCATTCTAACATAGGTAGAGAGAAAACCCCCTTCCTTTCTTTGAAAGAGGCTTGAATGCTGGGTTTTCTTAGGTAATCCATTGTCTCTTATCTAGGCTAATGCATGGCAAACCTCTTATTTCGTAGTAACACTTAGGGTTTGGTTGTGGGTGCCCATCCGGACTTCGATTCGAGGGTGAACTCTAACCAACCCTCAGTTAATAGATCGAGAGAGTCACGTTGGTGGCTTGGATCAAATTCTCTTCCCTCTACCTAGATACTGAGAGAGTGGCGCTTGGCTACTTATTGCACTTTCCTATTGTTTACAACCCCCTCACCACACATGACCATTCGATCCAACAAGTCGTAATTGTTAGCCAGGGGGAGCAACACCGGGGTGAAATCTTCTCTCATTGAGACAAGCTCGATTTACTTTACTTGCTTGTTTCCATTTGTAGGTTTCTTATTTTGAAACCCAAAAAACGTTTGCTAGATAACAAGCTAAGCGATTGAAGTAGGGGTACATGGACCGGCCCGGGGTTGACAATTAAAACATACTCGCCCTATACTGCACCCGGCTAGAGTTTATGCTTGAGCTCTAGTCGGGATTTATTCACGGTGTATCCGTTGTGAGTCCGTGGCCGAAAGTGAAAATTCCTAGTATGGGCCACAGATTTTAGGCCTTGTTTGCTTCGGACTGCTAACTTCTATGGGCCTTTTGTCCAAACTCCGAATTAGGCCCTATTCTATCTCAGAACACTCATATGCTTTTCCTCTTTCATGTCATGATGAGCTTCTTTGGATACCAAGTTGTCACTAGCATGGTTTGACTTGAAAATGCACAAATTGCTACCAAAAGCTTATCAAACGTATAAAAGCAATCCTAGTGTTGCTAAAACACACTTGCACTAATCATCACAATAATTCAATGTATTATGATAAGAAATGTAGGCACTTTGGGTAACAATATGTGCATCTAGAATAGATACTTTCATGTGTCATCATTTGTGCATTTGTGTTTAGTTTTAGGTTATGCACCTAGAGTGTTTAATTTTAAGTTTCGCAATAATTAGCTTTTGTCTTTCGCAAATGATTGAAGTGAGATTCATTTACTTTTTTCATATTTCGACTTTGCTAAGTCAACAGTGTTCACAAATTTTCCCCGCACCTTTTACTCATACAACCTTAGCTCTTTTTTTGCATAAATTTGTATGTCGGCTCTGCTCAAGCCTCTGTCATTCGTAAAAACGTTAAAATTAAATCAACTTTCACATTTTACTTCCTCTTCATTATTGATCAGTCAATGATTAGAACAACCTAGGTCCACACTTTTTATTGACATCTACATTTTGACTTCACTCAAGCTGCCTCCGTTGCTAAATTCCTTTGTCGTACTTGTCTAGGTTGGTTTTTACTATCTCTCATCTCCAATCAATTATAAATAGTATAAATTTGTTTTCTAATAAAAGTACATCGATTAGTCTATGCTAGCCACCAACTAATTGATGTAATTAAGTTGTTCGTTAGAATGTCTATGAGGAAATTAAATCACATAATATAAAACTTGAATTTTTGTATTCTAATAATGATGGACAATAAAATATAAGAAAGAACACTACAGTTCTAGCCATTGTTATTTCCTTTGGTTATTTGGTTCTTGAATTAATTTTATATGGAATGTCGAGGGGAGGAGGAGTGCCTCTGTAGCTAACATTTTTTAATATAATTATTAAAATATTGAAGATGATACACAATTATAGATGTATTGATTGGTAGTATAGGACTACAACTACACATTAATTACATGATCATGATATACAATTGCTTCTTTATTTCATTAAGCTAAACCATGTTTATTTCATAAGTTCTTATTTACCAAATATGTGAATCTCAACTCTTGGACCTCATTTAAGTATATGTTATTGTTGTGCTGATGTCATGTAAAAAAGAAAGTACATATTGAAAAGAAGAATTTTGCAAGAAAAGCTTCACTTGTTATCTTACCTCTTCAGATGAATTTAACCCCTAACCATAGTATTTTTAACTTTATTAAATGACATTATATTTTATTTTAAAAGTCCCGACTCTAATTTGAGAGTACTTAAGGATCTATAATGGCATCTTTTGACTTTAATTAATATAAGTGACAAAATAGATCATTATTTGAATGATGAGCAAGACTATACGTATCAACCGAACGACAAATTTACTATGTATTGAGTAGTCTACTTCCACCAGAATGTTCAACTTCTAAGTTTGTTGAGCTATACATTCATCAACGGAGAAATAAGTTGAAATGGCTATGATTCGATTATAACATATGATAATTTAAATAATGTGAGTGAATGTGTTTTCATGAGGTTGAAAAAAATATTAAGTTATGACTCCTAATGTTTTATATTATCGTTGCTCCTATCCACACTCAAACTAAATATGGTCAGGGGCGGAGCCAGAAATTAGCTTTCAAGGGGCCGAAGTTCTCTTACGATGTTACCGCCAAGGCCTAAAATTCTATTAAAAATAATTTCTATTAAACAAGAACTCATTTTAATTTATTATAAGCATACAAAAAATTCATATTAAATTCAATATAAATTAGAAAACTATAAACAAGATACTAACTCATTTCAATTTTTGTGTGGCGTATATGATTTGAATAACTAAAGGCGAATGCTACCAATACTAAAATTCTGAAAGATATTTAATTATACATTAAAAAATAACCTTGAAATTGAAGAATTTAATTGATCTAATTTGAATTAAATAATTAAAAAAGAAAATATGAAATTTTAAACATTTGATTGAATTGTTTAGTTAAACAAAAATTAAGGGATGTATAAGTTATAACTACAAATATTAATCATAATTCAAACTATCCTTAAAATTTTGAATATAGTTTGAAATAAAGTTTGAATAATAAATAATTTTAATAAATATATGCAATGAGAATCAGTAGCATCACGCTATTGAAAAAATAAAAGCCATAAAAACGCGGTCCATGGGGTGGACACAAACCTAGTCTACAATGGGGTCCAGATCTTGTCAGTAGCTGATGGGTCAGTAACCCATCTGTAACCCCTTCCCTGGTCCCCACGTGTCAGTCACTTTTTTATTTAAATTAAATGTGAAAAGGGTAGTACGGTAAAATTGCACTTACTCCTATTTATTATTGATGCTCACTTTTGACCGGAGCCTATCAGCCCCTCCTTCTCTCTCCTCGCAAAACATTTAATTTTCCTTCCCTTAATCTTTAACGGACGATTTCTCACTCGTTTTAAGTCGAAATTTAATTTTTTTTGCACAGTTAGATCAGATTAATTGTCCTCTTCAAAATGATATCCACTTTAATATTTTTTGGACACAAAAAAATTTGTCAGTTATTACCAGTCATACCATATGGTATTGACTGGTATTAAACAAGAGCATACCATGTGGTATGGTAATATTTGCCACATGAATATATATTTCGTTACCACCCAATACCATATGATATAGTGTGGTAATATCAATATATATTTCGTTACCACCCAATACCATATGGTATATTGTGGTAATATCACACAATACCATATGGTATAGAGTGGTAATATCAATATATATTTCGTTACCACCCAATACCATATGGTATAGTGTGGTAATATCAATATATATTTCGTTACCACCCAATACCATATGGTATAGTGTGGTAATATCAATATATATTTCGTTACCACCCAATATCATAGGGTATAGTGTGGTAATATCAATATATATTTCGTTACCACACAATACCATATGGTATAGTGTGGTAATATCACACAATACCATATGGTATAGAGTGGTAATATCAATATATATTTCGTTACCACGCAATACCATAAATTACCATAGAGTATAGTGTGGTAATGTCAATATATATTTCGTTACCACCTAATACCATATGGTATAGAGTCATAATATCAATATATATTATCTAAAAGGAAAAAAACAGAAGGATGGAGAGAAAAAAATCGTCTTCTGATGCCTCTCATTTCCTCTTCCTCAATCAAGAACACCAAAATGCCAAAAAAATGAGAAAGATCGGAATTGAGTCCAACGAGTTGATGAAGAGAAGAAATGCAATGAAAGAGAGTGGCTACAATTTTTATGCTAAAGAAAAAAAATGAAGAAGGAAGAGAGCAGATTTAGATTTGAAAAGGAGATTGTGAGGAAAAAAAGTAAGAGAGAAGGAATAGAGAAAGAGAAAGGTCATGGAAAGAGATTGAAAAAAAGGAAGAGAGAAGGAAGAAAGTTGAGTTGCAGAGAAGGAAGATTCTCTCTCTTTCATTGAAAAGCCAGCCATTGAAATGCGGAATAAATAAAAAATTAAAAATACGAAAACAGACAAAAATGCCCCTCCCCACCCAGCGTCCAGCCCATCCACACGATTTCTCCCTCCCCAAATCTACGGCCCGCGTGTTGTTACTGATGGGTCAGTAACCAGTGGTTACTCACCCTATCTTGGACCCTACAATGTGAATGGAAAAATTGTAATGGACATTTGGATTTTTTAATATTATCTATAATGATCCTTTGCTTCTCCTATGGATAAATTAAAATCATTGTCAGCCAACATAAAGAACCAAAAATTGGAGAAAATAAGCAGCATCTCGATGTGTAGGTAGATATAGCTCCTTGTCGTCTATCTATTCTGAGCAAAACCAACGATACAAACAACAAAAATCCTTTTTAGTTTTCAATGATAACTTAACAATATATTCATCATATATACTCTTTCCCTTCCCTCCTTCAAATATTCCCTCCCCTTAATCTTTCTTCTCCTCTGGAATTCCTCCCTTGGGAATACCACATTACACAACAAATTGTTCTCTCCAATTCCCGGCGGTAGCCGTCTCCCTCCACCTCTGAGGGAGATATCAATCCAAGGGAGACAAAAAAAAAAAAAAAAAAAACAAGAGAGAATAAATAAATAAATCACCCCATTGTAGTTATCATCCATCGTCATGGCTCCGTCATCGTCCGATCACGATTCTTCACCGAAGAAAGACAAAGAGTCCACATCCGCCACGGATGGAAAAACCAATACCATCGCCAGCCAACAACATCCGCCGCCTCCATACCCTCCTGGCGTCGGCTACAATTATCCACAAACCATGGGCTACCCTCCTCCCATGGGTCAGTACCCGCCCGGCTACCAATACCCGCCCGGTTACCATTACAATTACAATTACAACAACTACAACTACGCGGCACAAGCACCGCCGGCGGCCTACTATTACAATCACGGCGCCGGTGCGTACCCAACCCAGGAGGAGATGAACGCGGCGGCCAATTTCGCCCGGGGATTCCTAATCGGAATGATGCTCTTATTCTTCTTCATCTTCGCCTCCACGATCCTCTTCTGGGTGGTGCTCCGCCCACAGGTTCCAGAGTTCCACGTCGAGTCCCTGACCGTCGCCAATTTTGAGGCCAAGGAGTCCAGCTTCGCTGCGTCGTGGGACGCCAATTTGACGGCCCGGAACCCGAACACGAAGATCCGACTCTATTTCAACCAGATCGAGACCTTCATGTTCTACGACGACCAGCCCTTGGTGTCCTCCTACGCCAACCCGTTCTCCCTGGAGACAGGGGCGGCGACGGGGATGGTAACGAAGCTGGCCACCAACAGCTCCATCGACGAGGAGGCGGAGGACGACGCGGTCGAGAAGATGGCGGAGGAGTATGGCTCCAGAGGGGCGGTGGAGTTTAGTTTGAGGATGGCCATGTGGACAACGTTTAAATCGGATTCGTGGTGGACGCGGCGGTCGACGGTAAGGGTGTTTTGCGAGGAGTTGAAGGTCGCCTTTGTTGGGAAGACAGGGAAAGGGAGCTTGGCTCCCGACACCAATAGGGAATGTTTGGTTTTTATTTGAACCATCTCTTTATTTTTCAATTTAAACTCTTCTTCGTTAGCTTTCTTTTTGTGCGCCTTAATTATTGCAAAATTGGAAGACACTTCTCATGTCTCTTATTTAATGCATATGTGAGTATGTTTTCTGTTGAAGGCGATACGAGCTTGGAGACTTACTTGTTGGTCAAAAAATCCAAGCAAAAGTTTGCTAATAGGATTTTGTACGTAATCGAGGGGTTAGCAATGTACCTTTTGCCTCAATGTAACTGGTTTCATTCAATAAATCGATACAATACTTTCTTTGGTATACTGTATGACCATTTGACATTCGCTGAACCTCTATTCCTAGAAAATACATCAATAGATCTAGCAATTTCACTCTAAATTCCTTGAGTTTAGCTTTCTTTACTTGTTCTATATCCGTATGAGCATTTCCTCCAACAATTGTGTCATCCACATGTAAAAGTATAACCATTATTATGCCTTTAATCCACTTGGTAAAAAAGGAGTAATCCAAAGCTATTTGGAAAAAGACCATTTTTAGTAAGAGTCTTATTAATGTAGAAAATCATTATCCTGAAGTTTATATCAATCCATACATAAATTTCTTAAGTAGATATGCCCATTTTTTTTACTATAGCCAGATAATGGTATCTTAACTACAAAAGGTATATGCATATAAACGTTTGTACATAGATCTCCATGTAAGAAGGCGCATATAATATATATCCATATTCTCTAACCTCCAATTCTTCGCTGCAGTTATGGCTAACATCTCTTTTAACTATATTTATCTTAGCAATTAGTTAGAATGTGTCCAAGAAATCAGTCACATAAGTTCTTGTAAACCATTTTGCCACTAGTCTTGCCATATATGCCTCTCACAGATCCATATGGTTTAACTTCAAATTAAGCACCCATTTATTTCCAACAATCTTCTTACGTTCAGGTATTGGCATTATGTCCCAAGTCTAGCTTTCTTTTATTGCTGCTAGCGCACTTATCACTACTCTATTCCACTTAAGAGACTTGATTGCTTCATTATATCAAGTAGATTCCAAGTTGCAAGAACACTCAATGCGTACATTCTGTCATCAATATTTAGATGATCAGTGTTAAGGCATATAGGATAACAAGTCAATATGTGATAACCAAGTCGATTCTCGTGTTTTAAGCCCATTTCACGCTAGGTTGTGCTTTTATGTCGTATTTCAGGACCGGGAGCGGAATTGGAGACTTGGAAGCAAGTTTCGGGTAAAAAACCAGAGATTCGCAGAAAGTGGAGCTGGAAGGTCAAAACACTCGATCGGGTCACCCAAGTACCCAACCGGGTATAGTCAGCCGAGATCGGGTATTTCCCTAAGAGAACCAGGAGGCCCCCCGGTCATGAACCATAAATACTCGACCGGGTATTTCACCCAAAGGTCGGGTATTTTCCCTCCTGTGATGAGAAGCTGAAACGCGTTGTTTAGTTTAAATACCTAGTCTGATCCCCTAATACCCGATCGGGGATTCAGACCGAGTACACCCAACTCGGGCTATTACAAGTTGAACACGGGTTTTGGTCTACCATTCAAGTTTTGGAGCAAAAATAGAGGTTTAGAGAGAGAAAGTGACGAACAAAGATCCTTGAGTGCCCTAGATCAAGTTTCCCATCACTGGAGCTCGATTCAAGCCCCGAGGAGTGACGATTGATGACCCAGAGCATATTTATTTCGTTTAAAATGATGATTTCTACAACCGACATGGCTTTCCTATCTCTCTCTCTATGGAGTAATCCCCTCTACCACTTGGGTATGAAGAACCCTAGTTTTGCATGTTAGGAGCAGTTGTATGAACCCTTTTCAGTACATTGATGATTATATATCCCATTGAAGTTTTATTCAGAAATCTAATAGTCTTTATCACACTTGTATGTTTCCAACTTTGACATAGAATGATAGAATCCGAACAGGTCAATAGAGCATCTCGATTTGGAAGTGGTGAATCGATTGTGCGAGAGTCAATCAGTTAATTGCTCTGTACTGGGATTCATTCCAGTAGAGGAGTTTTGTTTTTATTTCCTTAGAACTTTATTTCGGTGAAGGTTAGTTGCCTGCCGGCTAACGTGTCTGAGAGGGCTTCGTCAGCTTAAGAGATTCCAAACTAGGTCCAGATCTTCCTCAGTATAAATCTGAATTGAATTGGACTGGGTGAATTACAACTCGACTTAACTGCAGGCTAGGGGGAATCATTACCTGACTGGTTCTTTCTCAAACTTGAAAACCAGAACATTTACTGCTTTCGGTTTAATTTTCTTTAAACACTTCACTCAACCTTTTCCGCTAGATAATAGAATTTCACGGAGTAGGCAATACATCTAGGCCCCGGGTTGAATTTTATTACTTGTCTCACTATACTGCATTCCATTCTATGATTACACTTGGTTGTAGTTTGGCGTTCTGTTTTAGCTACTCAAGTTTTTGGCGCCGTTCTCGGGAACTTCTAGGTTATTGTAGAAAATTGTAGATGTGTTACTTTAGCATTTACTTTTCTGCATTTGTATTTCTCCACCTGTTTGCTTTCACGGGTTGTGTATGCAGTCTGTGTGCAGGTAGTGCATGACTCGTAGCCAGTCAGGAGATCTACATCCGTTAGACCACGAGCTTCAACGGACTTGCCGTCAGTTTAAAGGAGCACTACAGGCGCGACCGGCTGCGGAGGAAGCTTTGGCTCAACTGACCATCGCATAGGAAAAAGAAATGGGTGAACCCAATAATGGATCTAGGGATGTGGAAAATCAGGCTAAGGAGTGATGACTCGAGATTTGCACGTATTTTGTCCACCATTCTTATACTGTGCGAGGCTCGTTTCTCGTATTTTAAACCGATTTCGTGCTAGGATGTTCTTGTTAGTGACATTTCAGGTCCTCGTACGTGAATGAAGTCTTGGGCACAAGTTCGGGGTCGATTGGACAAAGTTGGGACATTGACGAAAAGATGAGGAAATTATGCGGCCAGCTCATGATTTTTCGCGGCCGTGCACGGGCAAGAGCTGATTTTACGCGGTATGGCCGTGTAAATGATTTTATGTAGCCAGGGTTCGTACTGGCTGTGCAAGGGCACCCTTTGGCCGTTTGGATTTTCCAGGGAGTTACACGTGCAAGACTGGTTTTTACACGGCCGTGTGATTCCCTCAACCAACTAAGTGCAACGCTTCGCTTTAGGATTTACACGGGCATGATGGATTTTACACGTGTGGTTTGGCCATGTAATCGAACAGAGCTGTGTTTTAACACAATTTCAGGTTTTGGAGAAGGGATCCGAGTTTTAGAGCTAAAAATAGAGTTTTAGAGAGAGAATGTAACACTCCGAATTTTGGATTAGGTTCGACCAATATTCGGGTCGGTTTGAAATTGAGTAAGATAATACCCATCACTAATTGGGAGTTTTATTTTAATTAATTTCTATTGATGAATCCAAATTAGGGATTAATTGGATTTTAATTAATAGAAAGGGAAATTCCCCACTCTCCACCCGTTACTACTCACTCACCTCTCACCCTTGAATCCCAAAATTAATCCCCATTAAAGTCCAGAGCAAACGTTTGCCCTCAGGGAACCAAAAAGCCTCATTGTCTCATTACCTTACTTTTCCCTCAGAGAACTACCAAGGATCTATGGAAATTCCCATCCACCGCAAACACCACGGAGCCTCCAAGTTTTCTCCACATCGCAACGAGGAAGAATGCCAAAGGAGAGAGCTAGCTTAAGCTTGGCCACGGGGATAAGCAATCCAGATAAGTATAGTTGTTGGTTCTGTTTTGAATTTATCGAGGCGGTGGTTGAAGGACTGCGTGTCTATGTTCTAGACTGGAGCAGACGATTGGCGTGGAGGTCCGGAATCCATTGATCGGAGTTAGGCCTCGTCGCCCAGGACAATCCGCATTGGCCACTACAACGGGGGAGCAAGGTACGTAGAAACCAAGGGAAGAATGGTTGAACATGGCGGCTGAACCGAAAGATCAACTACAACTGACTTGATCATCGGATAAAGTTACGAGCTAAGCTAGGTGAGTGGTTTTGTTTCCGATTGCAATATAAATGTGGGTTAGTTATTGTGAAGCGGAATCAGTATACAAGGAATCAGGATATGTGGCATGGAGCCTTGAATGCTTGGTTGGTTATGGACAATTACAAGTGTTGGGTGATTAGTGGATAAATCAAGAACCTACACTAACATGTTTATTTAATTACACGTGCATGGTTTGTGAGAGGAGCTTCTAGGCATATAGCAGCGCTTTAGTAACAGGGGTTCCTATAACCCTTGCTGCAATTGTAAAATTTCCGTAAAACAGCAGTTTTATCCAGCGGTTAAAACAACCGCTGTATATTTTCAATTAATTAAAAATAGAATTTTCTAAATGCCTAACGTGCTCGTCTCTCAATACGAAAGAAAAAACAAAAATGAAAAGTATTCTAGCCTCTTCCACTCTGTTCTCTCGTAAACAAATCCCTAACCCTAACAATCATGTCTCAACTCTTCCGATCCCCGCCGACTTCAATTTCTCCATCGACTTTGGCGATCCCTCTCCCACCTCTACAATGCTCAAAAGCGGCAGCACCTTCTATCACGGAGCAATTTCAATCGTCTCTTCAGTTCAAGATACGTTTCCTCTAACCTTTTATTCAACTGATTTTCTCCCCAAGTTTGTCTCAATTCATGAGACGGACGCTGTAGCTCTAAATGATCGACGGCAGCTATGTTATTGAGAGCTCAACGCTCGCTTTCTCACGCTGTCTGTAGTATGAACGAGCTTAACTACTCAGGGGAGGTTCACTAACACCTCGATCGGGGAGCATGCAGTGGTAGGGGGAATGCAGCGAACAGAGGTAAAAGGGTAGTAGTGAATCGATTATGTTGATTGATTCCTTCCTGATTGAATGCTTGTCTCCGTATCCACTCTTCCATTCATAATTGGTTTCTAGTTCATTGTCGCCAGTGAGTTCTCGCATCATCTGCTAGCTTTTGACTTTCTTTAGCAATAGCTCTAAGTCATGTACTTGATGACTTTAATTTTTCTGTTTATTGGTACAAAAAGATTAGATGGTGGCGCTCATTTGCTAGTATGGGAAAAGGTTAGGATGTGATTTCGAAATCCAAGGTCACCGACGTGTTTTGTTTCTTCTTTCCATAGTGTAGAAACCCTTTAGCTCAGTGGGGAATAAGGTAATTTTAGATTACAAAACTAGCACTCTAGGGGTGAAAGTGGTTGTTTCTCTCGAATGATAGATTTTACTAACCTCTCTGCTTATCTTAACTTTGTGTTTCTAGCTCTGAATATGGTTGTTGTGCATGTATGGCTTTGTAGCTGTAGGTGGTATGAATGGCTTATAAACTCACCTCCTATCCTTTTAAGAGTTTAGACCTTCATCAAAATCCACCCGTATAACGATTAATATATGCTGGAGCAGCTAGCTGCTGATGGTGCAACGATCTTCTTCTCCCATGTTAACTATACTATATCTGGAGTGCTTCGGTTAGGGTGCATCATAGATTCAAAACCCCTCTGCACTGGAATATTAACCCCATACTGCAAACCTAGATGTAATGCTAGAGGAAAAATCAAGTGGTTAGGTAAAACATACACATGGATCCCAGGTTTATTAGCTGTTCTCTTATGCTAATTAGTTGTTTTCTGGTCCGTAATGTTTGACTCCCAAGATTTAAACCCAATTGGGTAGCTAGTAGTTGTCGTTTATCTGAGATATATGTAGTGAATGGTACCATTTCAGTTAGGTTAACTCTTATAGCATTATGTAGTATTTGAGTGTGCCCTTTACCAAACAGCTACATTTAAGCAGGTAATTATCCTCGCATGGGATCTAAGCCATGTCCCCTTGTTCTCTCTTCTCAATACTTGGTTTCTCTCTTCTGATGTGTTGCTTTACAGCCATCAGCAACAGAAAATGGTCCTTATGACTACACTAGAAGTGGGAATCCTACTTGGGACGTTTTAGAAAGGTGTATTTCTTCAATCTTATACGGTTTATATGTAATTGCTTTTGTCTGAATACAAATCATTGCCTAATATTGCTTATATTTACGTGTTACAATTAGAACTATGGAACATCTGCTGTCTGTTATTCTGCTATTTATTGGTTAGACTGAAAACAGAGAGCTAAAGCAGAAAGTAATTTTCTCCACCATTTTGGATTTGTGTACTTGCTTATCACTCCTCCATTGTTGCTTTTCCAACTGATTATGAGTCCGGATTGTTGATTTTAGGATAAATTTGTCCCTAAAATTGCCTAATTTGTCAACTTAACACAAGTGTCTTCATGTGTGCTTGTGGGAATAAATTATATAGTTTTGACTCTTGCATTACTCTTTACATGGTGTAGAAATGAGAAGAGACATTGAGGTTCAAGGTTCTAAGTTCATTATGCAAAAGAGAGCGCATCTTATTGAAGCATATATATGAGGTTAAATCTTATATCTGCTGCTCTGCCAACATTTTTCTCTTTATATTAAAGAGTTAACGGAATTCATACTCCCCATGAGTATTTCAAGAACGCTACCTGATCATTTCTGCACCTTCATTAAAGAGTATTTCAAGAACGCGACCTTGATTCATCTTGTTGGCTGTTGAATCTCCTATACCACATCCCGTTATATTGCATCCTGTTATATGACACTTTTCTAATTTTGTTTCCAGGATTGATACTGCTCTTAATTTAGTTAGGGTCAATGGAGAGTTCACTTCGTGCATCTTCGTCAAGCCAAACTGGTGTGCGGGTAGGGAACTCAAAACATACATCTCTATTATAAAAATGCCCAACTACAAGGCTGCATTCATTGAATTTGTCTTTGAATTAGATTTGGGTTTCCGATAGTGAATTGAGCTGTTAAATGTTGCATACCTCGTAGGTACTTTTTGGTTGCTGTCATATCAGAAGGTATGATTCTTTTACTCTATCATTATAGTTTATAGCTTTTACCCTTAATCTCTCTTTGCTCCTTCACCACTATCAAGATAGACCCTGATGTTTGCTGGAAATTGTACCCTTTATCGTTCAGGGGCCATAACCTAAACAGTTTGCAGCTCTGTGGAGTTATCTCGGCCAATGGTGGTAAGTACTTTTATTCTTTGTTTATTGTTTACCTGAAAGTTTCTGCTTGATATATTGAAGTGTAAGCAGCTAGCATGATGAGTGATAAAAAAATTTCTGGTATTGGGGGTTGTCCCAATTCTTTGTTTGCTATGCTCTTTGGGCAAGGACCAAGTAGATGTGATTTGTGAGAGAATTCAGTTTTCAGAATTTGAGTTTTCTTGCAGTTGGGGAAATGGTTCTTTCTGTAGCATTGTGATCTTTTAAAGTGATTTTCATATCTCAGCTCTCTGTTTATTTGTCTTCATTGTTTTGTGTTTCCATGTGGTCGTTTTTGTATGTTGGAATTCAACTAGTAGCAGTGACAATGATTTTTTGGTTTTTGTTTTTGTTTTGTAACAGGTTAGTATGGCTTGCAGTGCAGCTAATGGGTTACTAGAAGACATCAAAGTTCAATATTAAGAATTTTGTTGGAATTTCTATTTTTGTTGAAGTTTGATATTATTAGATGGTTTATGTGAAAATAAAAATATAGCACAGAAGAAAAGTTGTGGTAAAATACTGAAATCCACTTTTGATTGGTTGTTAATTATATCTGGTTTCCCATGAGTGCTCTTAAACGTTGGACAAAAAATTGCTAGTAACAGGGGTTCTTGAATGTCGCGAAACCCCTGCAAGGACTAAGTTTGGAGTTATTCTGGCCGCTGCTAATTCGTACAATGACAGCAACCGTAACCGTAGCAAAATTCGCTGCAAAATCATTCACCAGCGGTTGGACTGTCTGCTGCCGTAAATTTGCAGTGGTCCTCCTTGAGGCGGTTATGCAGCGGTTAGCTAACCCCTGCTAGTGGTCCTCCTTGAGGCGGTTATGCAGCGGTTAGCTAACCCCTGCGGTTATAGCAGGGGATATTTTACTTTTAGAAACGGCAAGAACCGTCGCCACCACTAGGGATGGCAATCAAACCCATGCCCACGGGTATCCGACCGCCCCGACCCAGTCAACGCGGGGAATCCCCGCTTTGACTGGGTATGGGGCGGGTATGGGTAAAACCCGCAAAATGTTTGATGGGTATGGGGCGGGTATGGTTTTAGCCTCCCCGGCCCCATACCCATACCCGCCCCACAAAGAATATTTGTTCACATAAAAAATACATGGATGAAATAGTAATCTATCATTGATAGTGAGAGTAAATAAAAAAATAATTAGTAGAAATGCAATTGAGTGGTTACCCAAATCAAAACCTAATTCATTTCCTCAACTCTCTCTTCAATCTTTCACTTTTCCCTCGTGTTAGCAAGATTAAATTAGTTCATTATTACTTCGTATATGTATTAGAGTCAGATAAATAATGATTTGGATTACATTGTAGTACTCTATTTTATGGATTAAGGGAAATTTTAGAATAAAATGCTTTGAACCATATTAAGAATTATTGTCACTTTCTCGACTTCATGATATAATAGGTGCCTTTAATGTTATAATTGAAAATTTACATGTAAAATTTTATGTATTATAATGTTGGATGTACGGGGTGGGTATTACCCATGGGTACCCGAAACCCACGGGTATGGGGATGAGTTTGCAAAATCTTCCCCCGCATGGGTATGGGGAGGGTATGGGTTTGGATATTTGAAAGCGGGGCTGGGGATGGTTTAGGCAAACCCGCCCCAAACCCGCCCCATTGCCATCCCTAGCCACCACTGGTTATTGGTAAGATGAACCCCCGGGCGGTTGGGCCACTACTGGACGCGGTAGATGGTCGGGTCACTACTGCACGGCGATACGTAACGCAGTAGTTGACCGGGCATGGACTGGACGGCGATACGTAATGCAGTACCATTGCCTTGAGGATAGGGACACCGGATGGCGATACGTAAAGTGGTGAACCCTAGTAATAAGAATATAAATTAAGATAGAAGTACAGAACTTCTATAAGCTATCAGGGACTAAAATATTAAGGATGAAAGCGGGAACGACTTTCATGTAAGAGGAAGTAATTTATAATAATGTGTTTAGTAAGGAGTTTGCTTAGGGCAAAGACCTTAGGAAGTAACGACGAGACTGACCCCTTCTCACTCACCAGGTTGAGGAAGGGTTATCTGACAAGACGAGCAGCCGCACCAGCGTTGACGACGTATCAAGGAGCTAAGCGAGGAGTTATAGTTTGTTTAGTCAGTTGTGTTTATGATTATGAGTATAACTGGAGGTTCAAAGGTAGAGGTTTATTAACTATGCATTTGAGTTTTGCACACGTGTTTCGGGCATTGCATTTGACGTTTTTCTTGGGAATGTTTAAGTTGTATTTGAATTTTAAGTTTTGTTTTTAACCGGCTCCGGATCCATGATTATTTTGGTTGTTTAAAAGGATCGGGGTGTTTCAGAGAAAGTGACGAACCTTTCCTCCAAGGTGACCTAGATTGAGCTTTGACACCATTGGAGCTCGATTGAAGCCTGGAGAAGTGCATATTGACAATCAGAATCAGAATTCCATCCTCCACAAGATAATTTCTGAATCTGAAGTTGATTTTCTTCTCTTTCTATGGAGCAAACTTCCTCTCTCACCTGGGTATGGAGAACCCTAGATTTGTATGTTAGATATGGTTGTATGAACCCAAATACATGATTCTTTGATATTGATTATATTCAATTGAGACATGATTTCTGAACTGCATGAATCCTGATCACATTCCTGTAGTTCTTGCTTTGACATAGAAAGAGAATATCTACCCAGGTTGATAGAGCACCCTTAATTGAAGGTGGTGAATTGAATACTTTAGTCAAGGAGGTTTTTTGCACTAGGGCCTTAGTTCGTTTACTCTGGTGGAGGTTAGTTGCCCGCTAGGTATTCAGACTGAGAGGGTCTGAAGACCTTTAGTCGAGACTTTAGACTGTTTGAGAACCTTCCGTAGAATAACTACCCTTGAATCTGGACTTTGTGAATTACAACTCGGCTAACTGCAATCTAGGGGGAACTATATCCGGGTGACCTCTCTCAAACTTGAATAAAACTTTGTTGCTTTGTGTTTGTTTAGTTTACTTACTACCTCACTACAGTTAAACAACTAGATAACGAGAACTTCATGGAGTATTCATCACATCTAGAACCCGAGTTGACAAATAAAGATAAACCCGTTATACTATGCATTAGTTTGTGGTTACACTTGGCCACTTTCTAGTGTGACGGTACAGGCGAGTCAAGTTTTTGGCTCCATTGCTAGGAACGGCTAGGTTGTTAAAGAAACGTGATTTCTAATACTTTAGCATTTCTTTTTTGCATTGTTTTGTTTACTTTTTCCTACTTTTGCCTTCACGGGGTTTGCTTGCTTACCTGTGTGAAGGTAGTCCATGACCCATAGCATTTGGGAGCATTACTATCGTTGGATCCCGAACTTCCACGAACTTGTCGTCAACTTAAGAAAGCGTAGCAAGCATGACTAGCCACGAAGGAAGAACAGGTTGACGGTCGGATTAGCAGCGATTCCGAGCAAGAGGACGAGATGGGAGACAAACACAACCGCATGAACAACCTAAATCAAGCACAGTCTCTAGGGATGCCCCTCCATTTCCCTTACATCGGTATCTGTTTTCTGAAGATAAGCAGCTGATCGAGTCGGTTTGTGGCGAGAACTTGCTGATTAAGACGCCATCACAGTTGAACTAGTTGTTTGAAGAGTGTGTTTTCAGTATTTTATTTATGAAAAGTAGTTCGCGCTGCAATTTAAGATTTGTGTATTTTATTTTTCAAGGGCATTTTAGTAAAAGTAGTACCCGGCTGGGTTAGGGTGTTACATTTCCTCCACCCTTATTAAAATTTCATCCTCGAAATTGAAACCGTAGGATAGGGACTGCGAAACAATCACTTGTATTGAGGCATATTGCGTTTATTGAATCTGCTTTGGTTTGGTTATAACAGACCTAGTGAATGTGGTGACTAAGCTGGTAACGATGATTGATCGGAACGGGATGGTTCCAGGTACAGGGAAACAGAAGATGATTTATTGCCAAAGGTGTGAGAGCACCAATCACACGGTGGAGGAATGCCAAGCTATGCAAGAGTCCAGCACACAGTAGAAGCAACTGAATTTCCTTAATAATGTCCGGTGCAACGACCCCTACACTAATACATACAACGAGGGGTAGCGCCAGCATCATAATTTATCCTAGATTGGAAACAAGAATCCCAAGCCATCGGGCTTCCAAGTTCTTGTAGCTGGTTTTCAAAACTAGGAACAACCATGCCTGCCCCACCCGGGCTAGATGCAGCAGGAGTAGTACTTGCAGCCTGGTGTATCACCATCAATCCCAACACCAGGCGATCCAATTTCAGAACTGAGGGATCTAGTGACCACCTTGACCAGCACCAGTACCCAGAAGTTTAGTAAATTAGGAAAATTCATGGAAGTGGCTGCGAGAAAATTCATGGAGATTGAAGCTATCCAGAGGAACCAACACACACTTCTGCAGGATATGGACACCAAAATCGGGCACCTGGAAGATGCCCTGGCTTCCAGACCGGCTCGCACACTTCCTGACCAACCCTTGCTGAAACCCTAGAAATCATTAGGAGGGGTTGCACGCCATCATGCAGAGGAGTGAGACTATAATTGAAGATGCACCACCGAGGAGTGAAAAGAAGGTGACGTAGATCACCCCGGAGCCGGAAGAGGACCTGGTAATTGAAAGGGAGCCAGAGGTTCGAGCCCCAAAGCCCCGGCCAGTAGTGGCTGAATATAAGCCTAAACTCCTTTTTCCCACCGGGGTGCACAAAGACCGGCTAGAGGCAGAGTTCGAGAACTTCATGTCCATTCTTAGGAAGCTGAATGTTCAAGTGCCCTTCCTGGAGGCATTATCTCATATGGGTCTTGATCGCACTTGTATGTTTCCAACTTTAACCTTGAATGATAGAATCTAAATAGGTCAATAAAGCATCTTGATTTGGAAGTGGTGAATCGATTGTGCAAGATTCAATCGATTCATTTCTCTATACTGGGATTCATTCCAGTAGAGGAGATATGCTTATCATGCCTTAGCACTTTATCTCGCTGAAGTTTAGTCGCATGCTAGGTAACGTGTCTGAGAGGGCTGGGTCAGCTTAAGAGATTCCAAGCTAGGTCTGGATCTTCCGCAGTATAAATCTGAATTGAATTGGACTGGGTATATTATAACTCGAATTAACTGTAGGTGATCGATTCAATCCGTGCATATTATTGTCAATGATTAGCACGTGTCAACAACTACCCCATCCTAAGCCAAGTTTAACTTAAGACGACATTGTCATATAATGGTGATCAAGGTCGTATTTTACTCGGGTCCTACTTCCCACCTAGTTGCTAATTAGTTAATATGTTTTGGAGGTTTAAATGGAGGACTTGAGGAGATAACTAGAATAGAAATTGATCAAAGCTAAAACCAGGTACTTCGGCGAACTAATCCTCCCTCTACCTTAGGGTTACTATGAATGCATAAATACTTAGGGTTATCGACTATTGTGAGTGACTCTTTCCCGTAAGCTTTTATGGTTATCCACACGCCTTCGAGTATGCCTCCCCTAAACCCATATATAGTCTACTCAATCTAGGCTGTCGTATATGGGGTAATAAGCTCATGGCTCATTTCAATTGACACTATCCACCATCCACACCAAGGT